CCCTCAGGGCTCCGTACTGGGACCAGTACCAGTACCTTCATCAATGACCTAGGCAGCGAGATTGGAGATGACACCAAGCTGAGCGGTGCTATTGGTACCCTCGAGGGACGAGGGACCTGGAGACGTTGGCCAACGTGAACCTCGTGAGGTTCCGCCAAGGCCAAGCTCAAGGAGCTGGGGCGGGGGATGGAGCAATCCCCTGTCCCGGCACAGGCTGGGGGACAGATGGAGGATTTGGGGACGCTGGTGGATGACAACCGGGCTGTGAGCCGGCAACGGGCGCTCGCAGCCCCGAAAGCCAAGCATCTCCTGGGCTGCAGGTCGAGGGAGGGGGATTTTTCCCATTCTGCTCTGCTCTGCTGAGATCCACCCCCGTGCCCAGTGTCCGGCTCTGGCGTCCCCAGCACAAGACAGACACGGAGCTGCTCGACCGGGTCCAGAGAAGGCCCCAGGGAGGCTGAGGGAGTTGGGGTTGTTCAAGCAGGAGAAGGAGACCCTACTGTGGCCGTTCGATGTTTAAAAAGACGGAGAGAGACTTTTACTAGCGTCCGTAGGGGGAGGCCGAGGGGCAACGGCTTTAAACTGGCCGAGGGGGAGGGTTGGGTTGGACGGGGAGGGTTGAGTTGGACGGGAGGAAGAAATTTGTTGCCGTACGGGTGCTGAGACGCTGGGTTGGGTCGCCCAGAGCGGTTGCGGATGCCCCATCATGGGAAATGTTCGCGATGAGGTTGGACAGGGCTCGGAGCAACCTGGTCTAGGGGAGATGACCCCGCCCATGGCAAAGACCCCAAGTGGTCCTTGAACGTCCCTTCCAACCCAAACCCTTCTGCGATTCTATACATAAATAAACGCGTACCTGCACGCGTAAGCTGTTGGCAGAGCCAACAACTCAACCCAAGGCCACGTTTCTACACTGCCTCAAAGCTGGATTTTAGCCTTCTCCTGCCAGGAACGCCGCTGGAGGAGCTGCCCTTGGGTGGGAAAGGGGGGTTACGGCCGCGCCAGTGAGTCTGCTCATTTGTGAAAACCCCTTCGTTAGGAGAAAAACTCGCCGTTGTGCAGGCTCCGTGCTTTCGCTGGGGCGATGGATGGATCCCCCATGAGCGCTTGTGCCTTGCCACTTCGCTTTGTGTCCCCGGTGAGCCACTGAACGGAGACATCTGCCTCCACCGCCGGCCTGCCAAACCCAAAATACCCCAAAATCAGCCCCGGAAGAGGTCGCTTTTGCCCGGCGCTTCGCCAAGGGTGGAGGGGAGCCGGCAGTGGGAGACGATTAATATTCACGCGGCGCCGCGTATCCCGTTCCCCATCCTGATAGCGCTCGACCTTTGCCTTTTGTCACAGGAATTACTGAAGCGGTTTTTAAAACCTTTTAGGAGTTGACAAACGCGGCGGCACCCGGGGGCCGTCTTTATTTTTATTTTTCCCCCTGCCATGTCATTTCCATGCGGATATTTCTCTTACGATGGATAAATAGCGGTTTATTAGAAAGGGGTTGTAACCTCCCGGGCTCGGATCCGCCTTCGCTACGACGCGAGATGCTCCCGGCTGCCACCTCGTTGCAGAAAAAGACCCCTTCGCCCACCCGGTGTGAGACACCGTTTACACCGCGTCTTTATTTCCCCTCTTTCCTTTTAGTCTGAGAGATTTAATGATTCCACTGGGGATGGAGCGCGCCCAGGCCCCTTGGCTCCTGAGCCAGGTATTGCTGTCATTTCTACCGGTGCTGTTTAATGTTTTCATCAATGACTTAGACAGCGAGATCGAGCGCACCCTCAGCAAGTTTGGGGATGACCCCAAGCTGAGTGGTGCGGTTGACGCACCAGAAGGACGGGATGGCATCCAGAGAGACCTGGACAGGCTGGAGAGGTGGGCCTGTGTGAACCTCATGAGGTTCAACAAGGCCAAGTGCATGGTTCTGCCC